TTATTTTTGTGTTTTTGTCGACGGATTTAATATACTCTGATTTATGTATTATTCATGAATAATATTGTTACAGTCACAATATGGTTGAAATAAGACCGAGGTGACTTTAGATTTAAACTCACTCACTCACTGATAAGACCTAAAGACGATGACTAACAGGTGTGGTATTCATCTATTGATACCCCCTTCACCCAAATGTATTATGTGTAAACAGTACAAATCTATGGAGTTGAATATCTGCCTCTGATCTTGTGTAAACATGTTTTCTCTGTACGATTTTCTACTGTGCTCAGACATTTACTGATAAAAGACATTGAGCACTATGCAATGACAATTTCAAGTTTGCATTGTGGACTCTACACTTTACTGAATAGACGTGTCGGTGTGTCTTAAATGTCTTTCTGTCATTCAAGAAAGATAATTATGGAAGAAAAGTTCACAAGTTTCTCATCGATACGCATGCACAATTTATATCGTGTAAATTTAGTAGATTCTTAGAAAATCTATCTCAGGCGCATACATTATGCACTAATTGAAACAAAGGAAACAGAATTTTTATTTAGAAATACAAAGATACAACTTAATCATGCTTATGGTGCGTGTGTTCATACTTAAATAGTTTCCGACTTATTCTCCGTATACAATCGCTACAATTAGTAGAGGCTTGTATGCAGTAAGCTGCCTTGGAAAAAATGTAAAAATACCAAAACATCAAACGGAACCAGTTTCGCAATTGTTTGACAGATTGAGGGAAAGTGTGGACGAAAGAACAACTACCATTCCTATACCCTATATATACACATTTCCATTACATTACATAGTGAGAAAAGTTGTCGGTGGTATGTTTAAACCCACTATAATAGTCCTACATGAACAGTATTGTCAGTGTCGAGCAATATGATCACAAGAGTAGGAGAATAGCGCATATATACGTACGACAGATGCACATCTACTTACCCTGTCATGCAGCATTCAGGTGGAGTCGAGATCAGGGCACAAACCAGAAGAATGGCTCCATTGTGTAAACAAATAACCGATCCAACCAACAGGATCAGACACGTGGTGTATTGTTTATCCAACTACGTCCTGGGGCATTCGTGCATAAAGGGAAGTGTCACCGCCTAGTCACGTGGCACATAATGTGCAGCGTTACCTCATATAGGGCAGCAGTTTGCTCTTTGTACTGCATGTTTGTACAGTCATATGATGTATGTACAGTGGACATACAGTCCTAACACGCACAAATATTGATTTGAGAAGCAAATATGCATGCTTTTAAGTCAGTTTGATCATTGCAAACTCAAGCAGCAAACATGAAACACAACATAACCATATTGTGCAAATAGTGCAAAGTGTTGAACATTTATTTTGTAAGTTAGGCCATCGCGTCAGCTATCGCCGCTTTGGTTTCACAGACCCCACACATTTTCGAGTTACAGAATACTTTTTCAAACCAAATATGACTTATTCCATAACAACGAAAATTCCACGTATTTTCATACATATTTCCAATTTAAACCTTTTTATCCCACAAGATGCCACATATGTTTACCACGTTGTTAATCTTTCCGTAACAGGCTGCATAACTACTGCGTCGCAACGTGATATATTTAGGCAGTGTGTATCCCAGCCTTTCTAAGAAATGGCCCCGTGGCCCAGTTGTTCTCAGTTATATGGGCCAGAAGAAACATATTGTGGGTCATGTCAAATTCCTGTAACTTGTTAACAATACAGTAGTTACTTGTAGTTACTGTTAGGCCCGCCGTGATGTTGCTGGAATATTGCTAAAAGCGGCGTAAAACCAAACTCAGTCAGTCAGTCAGTGCTGTTAGGCGATGGGGCAGCCTTGTCGTTGGTGCGTCCACTCGTCACCCCAAAGGCCTTGGTTTGCTTCCCCACAACGGTGGCTTGAATTTTGATGCATGCTGACACCGTCTGCTAGTAGCTGCTACTAGCTTATATCGCCATCATGAATACTTGATGATAAGCTGTAAAGATTATGGCATTCTGGGACTGTTTATTTAGGATGCAATCCATTATACAGTAGGAGTATGTGTATCATGTGGTTTTGGCTTTGGTTTTGGTGTTTCAGCAACGTGTTGAACTTCGTCTGCGGATATGTGTCAGAGTGGGGTATTCATGCTTCACTGCGGCATGGTATCTCAGTGGGCTAGCACTATAAAACCAGCTTAAATCTGGGCTAGTACAAGCAACCCACACATACACATACACACGCATGCACGTCGTCATATGAGCGAAATATTCTCAAGCACGACGTTATTTAAAACCCAATTTCACTTCACTTCACTTCATCACCTCAACTGTGAAAAATAAAAATTCTGTTCATTATACTTTTCTATACATTTATATGTTCAAGGGCAACTTTTGCTGCAATTTGTTTAAGGTTCAGCCTTACTGGCCGTAGAATGACTGGACTACTAACCATTCCTCGTCAGCAGGGAAATTTCTACTTTTCTTTTTCCTCGGGTTGAAGATGGCATTTTGCGATTCCATTTTTGGTAAACCGGAAGTAAATAGAAAACGGAATTGTGGGATATACAGAAGCTAACCAATGACGTTAACTACACTGTTAAACTTTGACGGTGACGGTAGCTAACGGCAGGACTAACCATGTTTTGAACAACACATATTTAACGTTCGGTTCGCTAACGACCGGTTAAAGATTTAACCGGCCGTTAGGAGTTAACCGGCGGTTAAGATAACCGAGTTTTGAACAACCGGGCCCTGAATCACTTATACGAATGCATGATGTTGTGGCATAATTTGCAAAAGCTATCGACTGATTGGAAATCTTCGGTAAAAATAATATTGTTCACAACAATAGTGCATTAGAGGGACAATATATTATTAACGTGTGTAAGTGGGGTACCTAAAATAAATGGGAAATAGCGTGTGCCGAGCGATTGACTGTTGTGGACCATTTATCAAACAGAACTGTATAAAGTAAAAGCGAGTTGGACGTCTCATAACAAACGGTTGAACTCAACCTACGTGTTCGGACAAGGAATGTTTACAACCACATGGGACATGCAATGGTTGAATATTTCGACCCAATGAAACAAACGATTATTCTATATCAAGGTTTGTTTTGTTCGACCTCTTAGATAAAACGATTCAGCTTAACCTCCCCAGGGATTATAGTTCAACCTAATGATCCAGATATGTTTATTATGTCTTCTGTGTTTTGAGGCCTGGAACATGTGACCTCATATTGAAAACAAGGATGATGGTATAACCTTGAATACATGACCCACTGAATACCATAGGACCTACAAACAGGACCTTTACGTTGTCATGCAATTAACCACTTGCTCTATATGATTTTATACAGTCCAAAGTTCGATCGGTCTCCATCTTTATTTCATTTCGAGCCCAGCTGTCCTGCAGGCCAAGCCACGAACACTCTGCAAATAATGTTAAATATACACACGTAAACCAAATAGATCATTATACCCCCAGCGACATCAAGGTCTTTGTCCTTTTCAACTACGTGTAAATATATGAGGTATATGTAAATGCAGAACCTTATGTCAAATACAGATTTGTAGACGAAGTTCAACGTGTATAGTCGGACAGCTTGATGAGCAACTAAAAGCGAAAACCCTCCTGATGCAGAGTCACAGACAATCTGGATAAATCTAGATACCCCCCGGGCCTGTCATGTAGGACATGTAACTGTAGTCTCAACCGCTTTTAAGAGTTTGTAATCAAAGAAACATGATGGTAATAAAGACAGTTTCAGTATGCACCACTTAACATATTGATCAGCCACAATTTCCATCTCAGGAAACCGGCTCATCTCAGTGCATTGGTCCCATATGAATTGACGCACTTTGAATTCTATCTGATACCAAGTTGACTTTGCGGTGCAATCTAGGAAGCAGTGCTAACAGAATGAATCTTATAAGCGTTCGTAGCTGCATTTCTTCTAATGAAATTGCACAAAATCTAGAACAGACGGTCGCCGAATTGACCAACGTCTACAATCAGATTGATTTGTAGGAATCCATTATTCAATAATCATTTACGCATTACTGACTTAATGTCTCTTCACATTTACATATTCTTTGTATTGCCATTTCCTTTCGTCCAAAAAAAACATAAATCGTTTCATGATTCCACAAAACTTCTGATAATTCTCAATGTTCTTCCTTGATAACTACAGGGCTCCAGATAAAGTCCATATCGGCGTATGTATGGATAAAAGATATGCACGATACGATAGGAAATAATTTAGGAAACGTAGCAGACACGCACCACAGCAATGGTGTACGGTTTTAGAATCATTTACGGAAGTATTTATCTGAAAAAAAGTATTGTTTTATTGTTGACTCAACACTATCAATGTTGTGGTGCATATATGAAACGAAACACAAGATTACTGATACGCCATTAAATTCCATTCAGTACTCTAAATGTACGCTTAAGTTTTCCAGTACTGTTATATTGAAAAAATAAGGAGTACTTACTCCTGATGTTGAAATATTATCTGGAGCCCTGGTTTAACTATATTTAACATTCGTTCACACAAGGTGATTACCAAGTTGGAAATTTATTTAAAATCATAGTGAAAAGAGCATACATGATTGTACCTCAAAAGTTGTGAAATGTACACACCAAAGGTCGGAGCTGTTAGAATATTGCGCGACATGAAACAATTTACGCAATGATGTTTACATATAATGGTTATGTTATCTGAGGCCTTGTAAGTGGGAACAACTACAGACTTCTCATGCAGGGCAGTTATTCTTTGGATGACCTAATCGTCTCTACAGATTTGAGTTCATCATTAAGTAAACATGATGGCTATAAATCAATGTGGAGACAAACCTCCTCAGCCGACGCTAAGCACAGCCACAGTTTCCATCTCAAGTAACCCCTCATCTTAGTGTAGCGGTCACATATGAAGGACCGCACTTTGAAATCTATCTGATACCAAGTTGACACGACCGCGAATTCTGGGAAGTAGTACAAACAGAATGCATCTTACAACTTTGGCGTACGTTGCTGCAGTTCTTGTAACTGAAGTTTCACAAAATGTAGGACAGATGTGCACGGATGTAAGGAGTGTGTACCATCTGAAGAAGGGAGTGAGACTGTCAGATGTTCAAATCCACTCTTTTAAAGCAAGTGGACTGATGATATGTGTCCGATACTGTCTTCTGAAAACAGGATGTAAATCAATCAACTATAACATTGGAACTGGTATGTGTGAGCTCAACAGCCACTCCTTCATGGACTCAGCCCCTTCCAACATACAAGATGCTGCTTTCTCCTTCGTACAGTCAGACATCGAAAACTGGCCCACAACTCTTGCAGGTCCTTGTGTTAATCACACGTGTAGCCGTAATTCACGCTGTGTGGCATCGCCGGTCCCAGAATGTGTGGTATCTGGTTGTTTGAGATCGGACATCCCCGAGATATCCTACACAACCTTGAATACAACAGTCTCATACTTGGAAAGTCCAGTTGGAACTGTCCTCAAGTACATTTGTGACAAAGAATTCTTACCCGAGACTCGGGTGGAATGTGATGTGATGGGTAACTGGACATTTACCAACTGTCAGCTGGCGGTACCATCGTCGTGTGCCAGTGTGAAGCAGTGCCAGCCCAATAGTACTGACGGAGAGTACTGGATGAGGCTGCCGAAGTTCCATTTCTATAAGACCCGGATCTACTGCCATGACATGAGAACCGGGAATCCCAGGGAGTATCTCACACTTCAATTTCACAATCATGGTATTTTCCCTGCAATAACAAACTGGAATTGTGGCGGAGAAGGCAAGCTGCCTGGTAGTTGTCTGAGTTATGTAGGAGAGGTTTGGTATGAAAAGATCAGAGTAGATTTGCAGACAATGGAAATTAAACAAGACGAAACCACTTTCGCGCGTTTTTCAGGAAATCCCCCAAAGTATGGTAGTGCTTTTGACTGTTACACCATGCACTACAATAGATCAGTAAGCCAGTGTGGTGTTAAAGGCGAGTTCACAATCAATCTGCGAAAAACGGGATGGATCGTTTCCCCAGATCAGAAATGGAGAGAAGTAGGGTGGAATGCAGCTATGGACATCTCTTACAGGAATAATGGAACTGTAATTCATCTCAGATGTGGCGGATATGCAGGAGGGTGTTCTCCCAATGGGCCGTTGCTCCTTGTCCCGAACATGGCTGACATTGTTGAAGAGACGTCTGCAAAAAGTATTCGCTGTGAGTGATGAACATCAGTGTTAACTTATTAGCGATCGTGATCAGTATGTCGTGAGTCATTTCTTTCACAGAGTTGAATTTGAAATGGTTTTCGTAAGATAAGATATCACATTAAAGGGCCTGGCATAATTGGTGGTATTCTTGTTAGTTCACTCTCCTTTGTCAACCGATTCTACAATATGACTCTTGTCTTGCCTATTTCAATGTCACAACAATTCGGTAATGTTAATTTTCATTTTATAATTTTAAAAGGAAATAGAATTATTAGATAAGTTTTGAATGATATGTCTTGTAAATAGATAAATTGTATTTTAAACATGGTAGTATAAATTAGCAACTGCGATTGTTAGTAGCTGTATCCTCGCAGGGGGTTGAAGTATCGTAAAATTATTGTCCTCCTGAGAGGGTACCTAAGTCCCCAAGCTTTCAAAGTTAAATTTAAGCTAACCAGATTTTTAAACGTAGTGTATTTGCTCTTTTAGAATTCAGTTAATCTTTTCCTACAATCGTCAGCGGCTGAGGGGATGGTGTAAGTCCAATTAGGGTCCATGCAGGTAGCAAAAGCACTGTAAGTCCCCGTGATCCCTAGCATGGTGATCTACCTGTCTTGTCCTAATTTGAAGTCCAATTTTAGAGAGATATGCTAGTTTTATTCTAACTACTGTGATATTCTAGTTGGTTTTACTGTCCTTCGGTGACAGATTTTTATAATTTACATGTATTTATTGTCAATTTGAAACTTGTTTTAGTCACGATATGGCTGAAATATTGCCGATGTGACTGTAAATTTTAACTCACTCACTCACTCACTCACTCACAGACTCACTCACTTGTCTTGCCTAAATGAAAAATAACGTGAAGATCCGGGTCAGCGTTGGTCATCAGCAACCCAAGCTTGTCGTAAGAGGCGACTAACGGGATCGGGAGGTCAGGCGCGCTGACTTGGTTGACACATGTCATCGTATCCCAGTTGCTCAGATCGATGCTTAATCACTGGATTGTCTGGACTAGATTCGATATATAGCTGGAAAGCTGTTGGCTGGATGGGGCGTTAAGCAAACAAACCAAGCGAAACCTATGCGAAAACTCAACGATTTACGTCACGTGACCTCGCCACTTTACACCTTTACATTGAAACAGATCCTCATTAGTCGAAGCTAAACAAGTCAGGTACCAACCATCCAAACATATACAGGTTCATTGATATGATCAAGAAGGAGCAGTCCCATACCAGGACATCCTCGATAATCTCCAGGGTATACGTTACGATCACTCTCCACTATACCCTGGATGCATCCACTGCTTGGGGCGATGATTTTATTACCTCCCTTTGCTGGCTCCGCATTCTCACAGTAGCCAATCAACTAAGCCGCCGTTACACCCGAGCTTTCCAGTGTCAACAAAGATTGCGGTCGCAGTTGCAAAGGTTTGTTCGTAGTGCCACTCATATATTTGGGAAATAATAAAGACAAATTCACAGATCTGAAACTTTAAAGAGAATATATAAAAGAACGCCTTCTACTTCTTTCAGAGTACCTCTGCATCAATTGAGTTGCCAAGTTTAAACGGTTAGATAATTTAAGACGCGAAAGTGAGTAGTGATTGGTACGCTCAACTTCCCAACGTAGGCACCTAACTGGATAAAAAGCCCGCAAAGGGAAGTAATAAAATCATCGCCCCAAGTCGTGGATGCATCCAGGGTATAGTGGTGAGTGATCGTAACGTATACCCTTGAGATTATCGAGGATGATACCAGGACTGTTCTTCTCCAGATTGAGGCTGGTGATAGATAGGCACCAAAGAGAAGAAAGTACCTGAATCTCGACACAAACATTGAAAATGAAAAAAAGGACATGTTGACCAGGAAGAAAAGTGCTAAAGAATATGTTGATTCTGTGTTGCAATTGGTTGGGGTTTAAATGTAAATGGGTATGTTATTATAGGCATGTATATGAGTAAGTTATGTGAACATAGAATACATTCTCGAAATGGATAGAATGTCAAGTGAAACAATATGTTATGTTTTGGATGTAATTATATGCATGCACATGAATAAATTATGTGAACAGAGTATTTCAGGAGTTGAGGTCTACTTTACTGTAACAGAGTGTAGTTAATCCCCCTATTGTTAACCCATCTACCACGGCCGACTGAACCTCTACCTCCAACACTAGGTGCAAGCCCAGTGAGGTGTCCCCGTGCAGCAGACTACAGTTAATCCCCCATTGTTAACCCATCTACCACGGCCGACTGAACCTCTACCTCCAACACGAGGTGCAGGCCCAGTGAGGTGTCCCCGTGCAGCAGACTACAGTTAATCCCCCATTGTTAACCCATCTACCACGGCCGACTGAACCTCTACCTCCAACACGAGGTTCAGGCCCAGTGAGGTGTCCCCGTGCAGCAGGCTACAGTTAATCCCCCTATTGTTAACCCATCTACCACGGCTGACTGAACCTCTACCTCCAACACGAGGTGCAGGCCCAGTGAGGTGTCCCCGTGCAGCAGGCTACAGTTAATCCCCCTATTGTTAACCCATCTACCACGGCCGACTGAACCTCTACCTCCAACACGAGGTGCAGGCCCAGTGAGGTGTCCCCGTGCAGTAGACTACAGTTAATCCCCCTATTGTTAACCCATCTACCACGGCCGACTGAACCACTACCTCCAACAATAGGTGCAGGCTCAGTGAGGTGTCCCCGTGCTGATTAACAACCGTCACATCGGAAAATCTCATGTTGGTAATATGTACATTTCAAGCTGGCACCGCGTTCATATACTAATGTGTTCAACCCATTATCAGTCAAAAGCTTATATTATACGATCTTCGTCACTTAACTAGATCTACTGACAGATTGTATTTCCTGCTTACAAACATTGGCTGGAATATGTATAACGTATAACGTACAATATGTTGTTTTGTTGGGGTTTTTTGGTTTTTGTTTTGTTTCTTTATTTCTTTTTTTTTCTTCATTTCTGTTTTTTTGGGGGTGGTGGTGTGGTTTTTTATTGCTCCCAAATCAAATATGCAGAGTATATATACAACGCATTTAGAAATATGTAAGCAGGTATACATTGTTGATACAGCTGGGTTCTCCAATTATTACATATAAAATATCACAAGTTAGACGCAGTCATCAGGTTAAAAACTGTGAATAATGTACCTAATGACATAAGATAATTTACTGGGATTGGCGGACAAAGCGCCAGTACGTCACCCTTTCCTTGGTTTTTAGTTTGTTTTACTTTTTTTTACTTCTATCTTGGAAAGATAATTCCCATTTCTTCTATACAAATCATATATTATATATTTATCTTCCTTGATTTGCCAGCAAATTTAGTAACGTGGCAACCATTGATATTTGCTACTTATCTTAGACATGTAAAAAAGTTATTTCTTTTGACCTGTAGTGATGATTATGGGTAATATTGAAAAAATCAAAATCATGTTGATAGGAGTCTACTGATCTATTCCAGTCTTTTTCTTCTATTGATAACTCATAAGTCATTCAAATCAGGAGTAAATTTAAAATTCATGCATCCAAGGATTTCAGCTACAAAAGAATTTCCCAGTTAGCGGGGCTGTAGGCAAGGAGATCAATATCACTATACCTTTTCCATTTTGTAGCTGAAATTTTGTATGCATAATCAAACAAAATAATAGTATAAAGGGTATTGTAATTGATAATAAAGAATATAAATTAGGGCAATATGCCGATGATCCTGAATTTATTTATTTTTTTTTTGGGGCTCAGATGAAAGTTAATACACAGCTATTGACACTCTTAATATTCTTTTATGGCATGTAAGGATTAAGAATAAATATAGATAAGACTAAAGCAATCTGTATGGGCTCTAAAGCGGGTAGCAGAGATATTATTTGTCAGGATTTGAACATAGAATGGCAAAGAAATGAATTTGAGGTTTTGGGAATTACATTTACTCCTGATTTGAATGACTTATGGGTTATCAATACAAGAAAAAGACTGGAAGAGATCAGTAGACTGCTATCAACATGGAGGAAATGGTATTTAACATTTATTGGCAAAATCACGGTTATTAGAACAATGGCTATTTCAAAGTTGGTTCATATCTTTCATAATTTGACAAACCAACCGGAAGCATTTACAACTTCACTTGAGAAATTATTTTTCAAATTTATTTGGAATGACAAAATAGACTAAATAAAACGGAGCATTTTGACAAAAAGATAACATTGAAGGGAGTCTGCGCATGGTTGACATTAAAGCCTTTGTTGATGCCATGAAACTGTCTACACTGAGACGTTACATGAAAACTTCAAATTTATATAACCCCTGCAATTTTCCATTGAAGGCTGTATATAAATATGGTGGAAATCGCCAGGATATTGTAGAAGCTGAAAATCCTTTTTGGAGGGATGTTCTAAAGGCATGGAAACTATATTGTAACCAAAATACCACAGAAGCACATTACATTATTGAAATCTTAACTCCACCCATATGGCTCAATCATAACTTTAAAAACCCAAACCACATTATCAGACACTAGGCTAATAAAGGAATTTTAACCATCAAGGTTTTATATGATGAACAGGGCTTGTTGTCTTTAGAAGATTTGAAAAATAAACATGACGTCAGATTTTGGATCTAAGATATATTTAAAACATTTAACCCGAATCTGGGAAAAAAAACTTTGAAAGGATACCGATACATACACGGTAATGATCACATTCATAATTCTCTACAAAGGGATTTTATTACCTCAACAAAAGGTTCAAGGAACTTTTATAATAAACTGGTTTCTGATTTTAAACCATATATATGTGTCATAAATGGGTGGACCGATTTGATGCTATTGATTTTGAATGGCATAAGACTTTTAATACTTATAGAAAGAATTTAAGCGACATTAAAATTCTAGACATTCAATATAAGTTCCTACATGGAATTATTTATACTAAAAAAGGATTGGTGAAGATGAAAATGGCCGACAATGAAATATGCTCTTTTTGTAATGATGTGAATGA